TAGTAAGATACCAGAATCAATGACCCTAATCATAGTTCTATTATAATTTAAATCTAATACAGTCATATTTATGTATACCTTTTGACCGAGAGAATTACCAAATATAAGAACACTTAAATTTTCACAACTGCTCAGAGACATTAAGCTTGTCATAAAACGCAATGCATTTTACAGTGACACACATAACATAACACAAAAAGCTTAAGTATGTCAAAATACTATTGTTTTCCCATAAAAAAATGGATATTTTCGTAAGTTTATGGTTAAACTGTACCTAGTATGTAATTTACCCAACTCACGAGCAGACAATAAAAAATAAAAAGTATAATTTGTCTATTGTTAGGTGTTCCTTTTTTAAATATTGCAGAACAGTGGCACGCTTAAAAAAAGAATTCATTTTCTGACCATAGAATACCGGCGCGGCATTTAACTAATTTTATTGTCATGAATGCATAAAAAAATGCATGTTAAAAAACTTTAAGTCTTACATTTTTTTAAAAGACCACCTAAAGCAGTGTAACCTAATACTTGCGCGCATTGAAACTTGATGCAATATTTTTGGTCCCTAAAGCACACTTAATTGGACAAACGGACTTCGTTTGATTTATTCATTCATAAGAACCATTGTATGTTTATTTATGACGTTGCTTGTTCAGTACTTCATATTTGATAATGAACATTGCAGTGCACCTGCCAGGTTTTAATTTTTAAATATGATTTAAGAATCAAAATTTGTATTCGTAATTGTTTTTAATGATTAATATCTTTCCTCTCACTATCCTGCAATCTGTGGAAGTGATTTCTTTGAAAGGGATGAACGTAAGTCAACAGGAGGAAGTCGAGGAAATGCGTGCTATTGGAATTTACTAATGCGCGTGCGGTACTAGAATTGGACGTCAAATGATAGGTGGAATGTCAGAAGTTACATTATAAGCGAATTCTGTAAAGCTTGTTCCCTATTTTCTTCTTGTCTATAATTTTTATTTAAAAGGGGCAAAAGTATGCAGCTTTGCAGCAGTTTTACCATTTCGTTCCTGTGGCAGTGGAGACCTGAGACTAAGAAATTTATAACGGAACTAGGTCGAAAACTCACAGAAGTCAATAGTGACTCCCGCTCCAGTTCATTCCTGGTGCAAAGGTTTGCCATTGCCATTCAATACGGTAATGCAGCAAGTGTGATGGGTACCTTTCCATCGGAAACGGTCAGGAACGAGTTAATTTAATTTAAATGCTTGCTCTCATGCCTGTGTCTGTAATAAAAAAATTGTAAAGTTCATTTATCAGTTTGTAATGTATTTAAATTATATATTTTAACGAACATATGTTATTGGCCTATTGTGTTTCAAGATAGATTATCATCATCATCATCAACAGCCCCTAACAGTCCACTGCTGGACATAAGCCTCTCCTCACAATGGAGGTTTTGCTTTACTATTTCACGTAATCATATACCTTAAAAAAGTAAATGAAATGTATTTAATTTATATATATATATTTATATGTGTGGTTATAACTTTTACTACAGAAAACAACATTTATAATAAACCATGGCAATATTTTAACACTTTGTTATCAAATTAAGAGTCAGCGTTGGCACTTTATGGATGAAATAAAATAATTAACAGTTCAAGTTTTTTATTCTTTATTTTAAGTTTATTGTAAGATTTGTATAATTAAAAAAAAATTGGTTGTTTTAGACGGTAATCATTTATTAATGTGTCATTTAATTTTTTACCGTGCAACTTGTCGGGTGTCTCACTGTTTTTTTAAATGACACAATATGCCATTTTAAAAATACCAACTTTTTTTTAATATATGATAAAAATGTTTTGTTTTACTTACTAATATTTCTATTAGTAAGTAATTTTAAAAGGTTTTAAGAAATTGCAAAGTTAAGCAATCCTAGCCAGATCAGTCTATGGATGGGTAACCATTCTTAACACATTGAGACCCCTCCGTAAGACTTAAAGCTGACCCCAACCGAGTTAAGAAAAAAAACAGAATGTAACTGCTAGGTTTATGTTTTATATAATATACTCAGAGTCCTTAAAAGTTCCCATTTCCATTCATTTTCATCAAAAGTATATTTAAAACTAGCCTTTACCCACGGTAGAATTGGCTACACTTTCCGAAGGGACCACGATTGCATCTCCAAACACGCACTGGATTGGAATCTTCAAGCACGTAAAGCGTGGTCATTCAAGGGCGTCCTAATAACAGCAAATGTTTTCTGTAAGCGCTCTTGGCCCCATCAGGGGGTTTATAATTCATTAAGACAAGTTTTCCTGCCACTTCACCGGCGTGTAATTTCCGTTCCTTCAAACCTTTACCTCGAACTAACATAATATGGATTTAGTTCGAAATGAATAATTTGAAGATGTATAAAGAAACGAGTGTATGACTATATATTTGGATAAATAGGCAAGAGGCACTACTGCTAGATTAAATTCGTATGGCGTCAATTATAGTAACGCCAAGTAAAAGCAAGTTGGAATAGCTATTATAGTAAAAAATTGTAGATATTCTCTTTGGCATAAAAACAATAGTTAGGATGCACTTTCTCTTAATTTATATTTTTGTGTTTAAAAGACGTATTATGAAGAATACATTTGTAATTATTGATTGAATAAATGTGAGAATTGCACTTGAAAAGTTCAAGGGTAAAGCTTCAAACAGTGATAAAACAGACTTCGTACAATAAAATGCGAATAAAAAGAATTAGATTTATAACTATTGACGGTAATTTACATAGTTTACACGGAGTACAGAACCAGAAATTATCGTTATACTATACTTTGTTATTTGTAATTAATGCTGTGAATTTTAACACTATTAATAAGACAACGAACTTTTAAAATCGTGAACTCGAAAACATTTTAGTTTTAAGTACTTATTATTTCCACCTGTCCACCATGGTTCGGTCAGTAAACCAATGCGGAAACGTGCCCTGGCCAGAGAGCTTTATTAATATTTTGCACCGCGGCGTCTGTTTCTGAGAAAAGACATTGTCCTTCTGAGCCCGTGCGTCGACCTCAGCAAAAACTTTTTGTTTGTTTATGGTTATCGGTTGATATGGGTAAAAGTAAATTTGTTAGTCTATGCTTTTTAAAGCTTAGGATAATTTTAATTATGTATTTGTATTGTTGTAGACATATTTTAATTATTAAGAATATTTAATTTTTTAGTATACATCTTGTGTCGAGCTTTTTATCGATAAATATATTTTTTTAAAAGATAACTCCCGCACTAGGAGTAAATCCTGTGTCGCGGGGGACTTTACGAACATACACGAAACGGACACACACCCAGACTCAGAACAACAATTTGTGGATCACACAAAGTGTTGTTCCATGTGGGGTTTATGAGAAATTATTATTAGTAGCTTATATAAACAAAAATGTAAAACGTATACTTAATTATTAGTACTAAAAATAAACAGTTCATTCACTATTTATTAATGATTTTTAACAAAAACGTCTATAAAAAGGGTTGACAAATTAGGGTGTTTAGGTATTATTAATTTTGATTTTTTGGTTTTAATTCCTTTATTTACATAACAATAACAGCCATGTCGTATCAATAAAACAAGTTGAAGAAACTTAAGAAGAATGACTACTACTTAGGCGGTTTGTCAAAGTAGAAAGTACTCAATGTTTTTTTACCTTTTCTATCCTCGCAAAGAGACGAAACAATGAACTATTAGTTGGTATTATTAATAATCACATTTTCAGCCGCTGGTGGTTATTACAGTTCGTTTCCTATCAAACCAATGATGACTATCGTCCTCATCCGTTCTTGTTATAAAGATTTCGCTGTTCCAGATTTATACATTTTGACACCTTAGTTTTATATCTGCTAAAACCATAGGCTAGGCTTAGCAACCCGTAGTCCGTTTTACTGGTTATAAATTTCTAATTTCATGACTGAACATTTGATCAAATATAAGTGAAAAATCTGAACTTGTTTAGGTAGTATATACGTTTGTACACAGAAACACAAAGGAACCACTTAGCTTATGTTTGATAAAGCAATCAGATAGTCTTAAGGCCGAACGCGCATGCGGTCTTCGCCATTCACTTCCGATCGTGTGACGTTGCAATGTGCTCATCCTTTCATGTCTAATGGCTAATGTTGATATCTTTGCCATAAATGTTACTGGTTTCCTACCTGAAAATGTCACTCTGTGTGATGGTTTTTTTTTTCGTATGGAAACCCTCTCGTGCCATCTCCCTACCAGGGTTTGCGGCGGGCGGTGTGTGTGTGTGTGTGTGTGGAGGTATGAACAGCTTTATCAAGATGTGCGATGGAACTTATCTTAGCCTTGTATAATGGCAAGACGTGGTGGGACAAACAATAAATTAAAAGGAATTCAACCTTAACATATTTCAAATTCAAAGACCTTCTGTTTGAAAGCAGAGAGCCAAAATAAATTTTTGAATGATCGAAGCCAAATACCAGTCAGATTATTCATGGGTTAAGAATTTTGCGTTAATCTAGTCACATTAATTTTCCAACTAAGTGTTTAGAGGCTGAAAAATGATGATTCTTCGCCGTTAATCGCCTTCTGTTATCTTCATTACTTATAAGATTTAACCAAATTAGATTCTATCTTCACTTGATGTTTCCTTCATGCGCTTAAATAAAGTTGTTAAATAAAAAACGTCTAAGAACGCGAATTCTTATGCAACGTGTTATGTACCGTAAAAATGTGATGACAACCAACAATAATAGCATGTGGAGAGATATGCGATACTATCTGTATTTATATCGAGAATGCCAGGGAGAATTAATATATTTCTTTACGGTCCCAGGGACAAATCTGTTTACTTCTTTATTTTTCTGCAACCCTATATTTATTGATGTTTTGTTTAAAAAAAACAGGAATATGGGGTCAAAGGGTGGCTACGCACTTACTACTTTTGAGTTGTACGTTGGTATTATATATATTTTTTTAAAACTTTATCGTTTTAATATTTAATTCCTTTTGTTACAGATTAATAATGGAGTCGACGACATACGTGTCGGCCCACTGGCTCTCCGCATTCGTCCTCTTATGCTCTTTCTTTTCCACACACACGCTCAACACTAAGGTGAGTAACCATAAACAATTTAGTTAAAACGCTTTGCGAAAAAATATTTTTTTAAAGAAAAGTAGCTATAAAACCTCTCTGGTATAAATATTTAAATACAAGTTTATAAGATCAATCATTACTAAATAAAATTGCTTTAATAACTTTAACTATATACGAGTATCTATGATTTTTTACAAGTAATAACAAAAATATATACAAAACTATAACTCGGGTATTCAACATTCGAAATAGGTACCTATTCATTACTTGATTGTAGTGTACCATTCTGTAGTTAGGTATCTGTTGTGTGTGGTTATGTAGCTATATTTTATGTAAATCTATCACAATTGAACAAACCGCATTTCTTTCACTATATAATTCATCATAATTTAAATAATGTACAATCATATTATTAGTTGTCTAATGAGTTGAAAACATGGTTGTTTGCTAAAATTTTGTTAACCTTGTCAAAATTTCTAACCAGTTTTATTTCTCTAAATTTTAAGCAAAATGAGGTTTTACTTGATCATTCAATTCATGAAAGTGTTAATTAAACGTTTTATTTTTAAGATATAATCTAAAAATATATAATTTTAAATAACGAACATCTGTCAGACTCCAGTTTTTATGATTAAATTGATTGGCTCCCTGCAATGTCGGTATACGGCTCCACGTACTGTGTAGTGTATCCATGGAGACGCCTGTATGAATTTCGCCAATTAGAATATTAATCGGACCTCTATAAAGACACAAAATTATTATATAGCTTAACAATAATTTATGTACGAGTATAAGTAAATAAAGGGATTTTGTCACTAGAGTTTGACATCTGTCAAGCGCCATTTTGGATGTCTTTTTTTTTTTTGGTTCAAATGTAACTTGTTGGTTGTGCTCTTATTAGCGTAAATTGATTTTTTTTCGGCAGTTATACGGCATTCCATTAGATCGTAAGTTTATACATTATTTATGCAGTTACGCCATTGCTTTCACTGGGGCTGTGGTATTAGTTTGTGAGATGTATTGCAAAAGTCGTTGACTGCAAATGTTAGCTTTTGCCAAGGTTTTATGTAAATGGAGATCTAATGGCACATTCGTTTTTTTTTGTATCATAATCACAAAATGTGTTTCTATATTGCGATGGTTTTTGTTGACCTCCTGACTTTTAGCGCTCGTTTTATATTTTGACGTATTTGCCACACGTTCGCTTGATGAGTAAGAACTGGTTTTTAAAATGTCGGGTCATCATAAAACATACTTATATAGATAGCTAGGTAATCATTATCGAAACATAACCGCGGAAAGTGAAGTATAATTCAACATGCAGAAAACTTGCTTATCCTCGTTTAACTAGTAAACCATAAAAGTCAAAACAAAAACATAAAGTAAAGGCAAGTACTTTATAACTGAAAATTAAAACCAACCAGAATTTTGGGACTAAGGTTAACTCTTATCAATAGTTTAATATGACCTTGAAATGTATTTTTTTATAATTGTAATTTGAATGTAATGTAATAAATATATGTGTAAAAATAAATCTAATGTAATTTAAATACAATCTTAATTAACCTTTTTTTAAGTGGTCATATAATAATATAACGATAGACAATAATTTTTTACTCTATTTGATTCCAGTGTTCAAGATATCCTATAATCTTTTGGTACATCCTGTACCAAAATTTTCTGGCCTAGAAATGGGAAAATTCATTTTTGATTATTGTTTTTGTAATTTATTTGAGGTGTAGACTAGGACTTAATATATCTTTATATATAAAAATATTATCGGGTAATATATATTAGAAATAACACTATGTAAGATAGCCTAAAATGGTATTGTAGAACTTGATATTTTGATCGAGTTCAACTGATTGTGGTCACGGTGAAAAGGCAACACGATTGGCGATTATGATAACACGTTGTGCGAAATCAAATACTAACCAAAAATAGTATTCGATGTTCATAAGAACTATTATTTATCCACCTCATTACTATTAGTGTTATGAAAACATTTAATAGATGCACTTGCATGGCTAATAATAACAGGTATCGGTGATTTATACACCCATTAATTTTGTGTTAATTTAAATTTCGTGAGATGTTTGGTTGATCCTGGAATTTTGAAATTAATCACCATTGCTTTATTGCCCACTTAATTAGCCCTACCTACTGATATAGACTTCAAAATTAATTCAAAATGTAAATTCAGTCAAAGTCTTGATGATGATAAAATTTAAATGTATGTTGACTTATCTATATCTAAAGAGGTAGATTACGTGCTAAATGATTAATCTTTTGTGTTATTATACATAATTCTTAACGATGCGCTTTTTTAACATTTTTAATCATAAGCTTCAGCTAAGTAAGTTCCTGCTATATGAGTTTTAACAGGATCTTACGTAAGTAACTATGAAGATAATTAAGATTTAAAAGATAAACATTTTGTCTGAATAATAAAAAAAATAAAATAAGCTGTGTAAAGTTTATTGTAAATAAAATAGTTTTTACTCTACTACCAAATCATCGATAAATATACAAATTATTTTCATGATGTTATGAATAATATCTATGAATTATCAATGTGAAATTATAATTACACATTTAATTAATTAAAATCATAAATACATTTTCAAAATCAAAATTTAGAAAATTATTCTAAACTTTACACACACACATTTGAAGATATGTGAAGTTTAGAAATTTTTAAATGTAATAATTTACTAAAACTAAACCTTTATATACGAGTACGTAATCCTTCTACATTACGGCTGCTGGGACTATTTAAATTGCTGGACAAGTTAACTAAACAAATTGATTCAGAAATATATTTGAGGATTAGAATCATAATATGCATTTTCTATTGAAAGAAAGAAGAAAACAGCAGGTATTTTTTTATATAAAACATATAATAATGTAATCTTCATAGTATATGTACATACATGGCAACGTCCACATACGATGAAACAAAGAAATATACTACAGCGTCATCTAACGACGACATACCGAACTACGGAGCAACTGCTAATCCTGTATCGCGATTTCAAAAATTCTTATGCCGATTAGCTACAAGCAACTTCCAAACATTAACCGTTGGGCTGCGGCCCGTCTGTCCGTGTGGTGACGGATTAAGAATACGGAATGGCACCACCCCTATTCATCCCGTGGGTGTCGTGAGAGCCGACTAAGGAAGCAAACTACGCAGGACGACAGCACTGCTAAGAGAAGGAAAACTTAAAACAAACCCTATACCAACCCGTTTGGCCAGCGTGGTATAGTAGGCCAAAATCTCCTTTCTAAGGAGAGGCCTATGTCCAGCAGTGGACTGTTATAGGCTGTTGGTGGTGGTGATTGGTGGGGCTGCGGCCCGTCAGGCATGATCATCTAGCCTGGTCGGAGGATCCTCCCGTTGTGTATGAGAGACATGACACCCGTTCCTCCAAAAATGTTAAGAAAATATGAGTTATCCAATTCCTAAACTCTCTTGATGACAGTTGGTTATGAAAAGTTCTTCATAAAAAGCGTTTGGGTACAGATGGTATAGCTGTGTTAAATTACAACATATCGAGCTATTGCTATTAAGTAAACTCACCAACATAACCCTACAACATCAATGCGTTTGTCGGCATAAATTTGTTTCGTAAAACTCCGCTCTGATCGGTGTCGTAAGCAACCGGTCTTGCGTTCGTAATGTGACAGAATGACCGGCTTCCACGGCACACTTACTTTTATTGTGTTACGCATGTATTTGACTTAGTTCTTGAAGGGGACATGTAACTTAATAGCACTTATGCAGTTTATGCGTCAGCATGCGATGTACAGGTTTATAGAGAACGTATTTAAATATAAAATTCGATGTCAAGAAAAAAACTTAATCGTTATGGCAACATTTATTTAAGCATTCACGAATAAGACTTAGCTTACCTAAGCATTCGCATACAAACATTTAAAAAAGTACGAAATCATAGATCATTATTAGAATAAAAAAGTACACCGAGATGTCAAATCTAAAAGTTGACAGAATCAGTATTTAGGTTTAGTTAGAATTGGTATTTATTAAAAATAATTGTCTCACATCCACGGAAGTTATAGAATTGAAATACAAGTATCAATGCTTTGAATTTTAAGCAAATGCACTTTATCTTAATGACATTAGGGCAGATTCATTGGTCTTAAATTTTACGTGCATTGAATTCACCTAAACATTCCGATGTTTTCTTTGTTTTAAAGATACATGATTTATTTCATTGACAACGAGTAGAGACCACGTAATGGTTTAACATATTATAAATCTTAATCGATGCAGATGATAATCACAAACAAGAAAATTCGGACATCTTTGACAGTTGAATTTTATGGTTTGTGTTCTATTGTCATACTGACTTTGAGCTTTCAAGTACTCACATTGAGTGTTATGTAGAGAAATTTGATAGAAAAAACATTAAGTTTAATCTAATAGGTATTTAAATATTAGTTTATTTGAAAAATAGAAAATATGGCAATACTTTAATATATTTTTGTTTATGAATTCGATGAAATCTTAAGGTAACTTAATTAAATATTAAAATTTCCTCTGGCTTGTTAGCGCTCTGAGCGATTTTTGCTTCTATGGAAGGTAAATACGAATCGGAAATGGAGAAATCATTACTTAGCTAGTGACAGAGAATTTCTTCACGTTCTTTTGATAAAAGATGCTAATGCAATTAAAATATTTACAACTTTTACACTATTTACATACGCAAGAAGCATAAGCATCAAAATATTCCTCCGTATCATAGCCAACTGGTAGCGTGCCCAGAAGACTGGCAGCATTGTCACGTTAAATGGCAAAAGTTGAACCCACTTCAAACAATAGTAGTAGTCTTCGAGTAATCGGTGAACATACATAAAAAAAAGATTCCGACGAATTGAGAACCTCCTTTTTTGAAGTCGGTTAAAAAGGCCTGCCTTCTTATCACGACATGCTTAGCTAGTTGTTTATACATCGACCCCAAACGGTTAAAAAAATTAATTTCCTACTAAATTAT